AGCCCCCATTGCTATCTATTCTTATAATGAATGTAAAAGCCAACAATAAAAGGGTGCCCTTACTTTGCCTCCCTAACACGTAGCTTTCTAGTCCACAAATTAAAATGCACTTGCCATAAACAGTGAAGAAGACTGGCCAGAAATATTGAAACTGAACTGACCAGTTTAAACACCTACATCTAACAAGTTAACAGTGCCTAGCCAGTTTGTTACACAGAAGCTATATGCAGTGTTCTTAAATTATGAAAGAGAATGAGGAAACTATACCAACTAAACATAACGGATGTGCCTCATGCTGACACTGATTCACACAAACCAGCTAAGAAAATGTGAGGAAAAAGCAGAAAAAATTGAACACTGGCTAGACAATTGATAGTGAAGATGTTGATTCTGTGTGCAATAACTGTAGTGCATATTTTTTAAAATTTCATTGATTTATACAAATACTGAATATAGTACCTGTAGATGAATCACAAGACCAATGTCTTGGAGTTACCCCAAAGTGATGCAGACTAGACTGAAGGTAAGGTAAATGGAAGCTTAGACGAAGGAGGACCGCCTCCTGCGAGTTAGACTGAAGCATCTCACACATGGTCTGCATCTGCATTTGTTTACACTTCAAATGGTTCTACACTAAAAATGTAACAAACCATCCAAGGATGATGAGATTTAAGAACCAAATCTTAGAGCAAGAACCAAAGAAGGAAAGCAAGCATCTGTGATTAAAGAAGCAGAGCTTGTCTATTGGTTTTCAGGAAATGGCTTTTGGGGATGTGGGCTCAAAGCACCTGAGCAGTCAGCATTCCTCTCCATGTTTTGTGTTTGGACATGTTTGGAGGTGCTCCATGTTGGGGGTATTTTGGTATGCTCACAGCTCTCTACATTTCTAGTTTATCTGCTAGGATCTAAATCTCATTAGGCGGTGGGTGCTACTTGCTCCTCTCTTTCCAGATATATATGTATTTTTAACTTTTCGGGACATTCGGAAGTAATGTTAGAGTCTTGTAGTCTTCCCTTTCTTCTCACAAAGTGACATTTTTTTCTTGCTGCCGAATTCATTCAGCAATGTCCCAGGAATGACCTATTTTAATCACCTCCCACAAGAGACGGAAGTCAGGTAACAGATATTATTTGGAATAGAAGTGAAAACAGTATAAAACTTTATTAATAACATGCTTATTTAACTATTATATGCAGTTCATTTCTCAACACACAGTGCTTTTTAGGAATAAGGAGAGAATGATGTCATCTTTTCTGTATTTTGCCTTCCAATATCTGCCTGGTATTGGATCTATGCTAACCTGGTATTGCCTTAGACTTAACTAAATTATGATTTGTTTTTAATTAAAAATTAAGTAACTTGGAGTTTTAGGATAAAATGCCGCTTGATACACAACTATGGAAAGTTTTCTCATGTTCAAGTAGGAAAGTAATGCTGAACCTTCAGCTCATTCTATATAAATTGTCAGTACAGAAGGTTTCTTGAAAACAAACCCTAGTTCTAACATGGGGAGACAAAACTTGACACCTGAAGGAGCTTCAACCAGGAGACAAGAAAACACCTAAGTTGCAAGGGTAGGAAAGAAAGTCATAGGAAGAAGAGACAGAGAGCACAAGCCCTGTTTACCTCATGATTTGGGCAACATTCTGGTTCATTTGAATGTGCCAATGCTGTGTCTCCATGAGGAGTAAAACCGGAAGTTATCCCCAGTCTCTGCCATGTAATCAAGGTAAGGCAGCTGCGGTCCTTTGGGGATAGGTGCACTTCCATGGCCTCTTTTCTCTGTGCAAGCACACCCTTTATCTGAAGCTTTGCAGGCAATACTGCTGAAATTATTACCAGTGGATACAGTCACTTCTTAGTTCATGGTCCTAATTGAATTCCAAGTGGAAAATAGCCGAATGATCTACTTTTTGACAAAGTCTTTTCTTAGTCAATAGCATATGTATGTATGAATGATGTATTCAAGATATTTAAGACTTTGGTATGACCCTTTAAATGTAAGGAAACAAAGTGAAAAGAGTAAAAGGTAAAACACACCCATGTGCAATCATTTGTGCAAAAGATGGCAAACTGATAAGTATTTGTACAATTAACAGAGCTCAGAGGATGCAGGTATTTCACACACTAGTTTATGAACTAAACTCTCTATTTGTGGTCATGTTGCTTGACCAGAAGCAAATGTTTTCAAAACATCATACTTCCAGACATTCACCTGAAGTTACTCTTGAGGCTCAGAAAACATGTGTGACAGTCTCCCTACCCTGTCTTAGAGAAAGTCTTAGAAAGTCAGTGTCCCTTCCGTTCTGTGCACTTGTGATTTTATTAGATTAAGGCCTCCGGCTTTCATTGTTTTAAATTAAGGCAGAAAATGTCTAAACTATTTTGTGAGTTGACTCTAACACAGATTCTTCTTTATGTCTCTGTGGTAATGTTCCTTTAGTGACTGAGTGAGACAACATACATTTCCTCTGCCTCTGTTGAACACTTGCAGATCCCAGGTGATTTTCTATGTTAACAGAACTCTCAGGATAACTGATGCTGACCAGGAGGTCTAGGCCCACATGAAAGGTTAAAGGAGGCAGGAATGTCATCCATGTAATCTGTTGATGGGTGGGATTTTACCCTTGTGAGACTTGGATGAAATATAGGCAAATCGGGAAATGGGGGAGGGCAGGCTTCACTCCCCATGGCTGTTAACCATAGAGCAATGCATTTGTTCCATATGTTCATTTGCTAATGTGATCTGGATCCAGGCAATGTGCTTTTACATAATTCCTGAGTTATTAAATTTTTTATTTCTTAGAGATAATTCCTTGCATGTATGGGGGGGTACACGTGTGTGTGCATGCACATGTGAGTGTGTGTGTGTGTGTGTGTATGTGTATTTACTACCACTGAGTTCAGGAAGAAAATTAGTTCCCCTGAGTAAAGCATCTTTGCACGCAGTCAGCTCCTTGCTCTAGAGCACTTCCCATGGTTTCGGCCCATTAAGCGGAGCACAACAGCTTGATGAATTAATGCTTATATAGGCACAGTTGGCAGCTTCTAATTAAATAATTATGGCTAAGCAGCTGCACGGAAGCAGTTATGCACCCTAGAAAGCCAGCTGTCAGTTTTATTGGTCCTAAGACAGAGGAAGAGTTAATACCTAGCTCTGGATGCTGGGTACCAAAGGGAAGTCTAGGATTTGCAAAATAAATGCTGTTAGTATGAAGGCCCTGTGCATGGGTGCTAGCCTATCCATAGAGACATGGAGAGAAAAATGACGCTCAACAGCTCAGCAAAATAAGCAGCAATTATATGGTCAGGAGATTGGGATATTTCCAGAGCATTCTAAAGAAGGCAGAGTGTCAGACATGTCAGCCCTTGATGAACAGAGAAGCGCCCCCGACCTAGATGGCAAGTGCATCAATTAGGTGGGTAAATGACTGAAAGTCGAGTGTACAAACCTGCATTTGAACTATCTTCAAAGCAAATTTCCCCCCAAAAGTTTGGAGAAGGCATATGTTCTACAGAATCACAGAAAGTGTCAGCTCCTTACAGAAGGTTTAAAAATCTAGAATCTTATCTCTGTATCCATTGGACCCTTGCCAGACAGAACAAAGCAGTATTTGTTGATTAAGATCTGGCCCAAATGAAGATCCAAAGACCATAATTAGGGTCACTGGACCAAGTAATGTTTGCTACTCCATACACATCAGTAAGCTCTTGGGGACTGATGTAATTTTTCTTCATGGGCCATCTTGCCCGTGCAATCCACACACCCTCACTTCTGAGTAGATATGTGATGACCCAGTTTGGAGAACCCTCACATCCCATTGGCTTCTCTACCTACACAAACTCCAAATGGAGAAACACAACTCTAGGCAAAGCCTGGCCCAAGAACCTCAGTCTTCCCTTTATATTTAAACAAATGTAGACAACTTAATCCTGACTTCTGAAGTCACTTCAAAATCAGCAGAAGGAAATAGAATGTTAACACCAAAAACACAGTCTTTATGGAATGAACTCAACACCAAAGCCCAAATCCCGTTGAAATTCAACAGTTAGATCAAGTATCACACCATATAGGCCAATTGACTGTTCTTCCTGCAAAGACCAATGGCTTGTATTTCACAATGCCTTTCTATAAAGCAAAGCAGTCCACACCAGAAGTCCACATTTAAGCAAAACGAAACAGCCCTACTTGAAAGGCGCCGGCAATCACATCACCTCACATATAATACTGATTTTTGTGTCATGTCAGGAATTCGATCTACCCAGTAGCTGAGGTGTTTGCATGTGACTGGCAATTCTCAGGGACCTTGTTCATTTTAGGTGGATCTTAAACAAAGTTCGGCTTAATTACGCCCGCAATCCAACTCCAGTCTCAGTAGAAAAATGTTAAAGAACCAAACAACAGATTTGCAAAGCCCATAAAAGTGAATTTCAGACGTGGGGGAAATGGGGGCTTTTCAGCAGTCTGCACTGCCATCTAGCCAAGACCACATCACTCGGTACACCGTCCATTTGCCTTCTGAAGGGCCATGATGAAAGGAAGCCTGCAGCCATCAGCTTAACAGACCCCAAAAGTTTAGCCGAAAGGACTGGCAATAGCCCTTCATCCGCACTGACTCTGCAAAATCTTCAAACCCTGTGTACCAACGGCCAAGCTGTAGTCAGCAATCTTACAGTCACAAACAACTAGCAACCTTACAGTCACAAATCACTATCTAGAAAAAAGTCATACATGCTTGTTTACAAACTCTTCCAGCATCATTGGTCCCTTCTAATTTTTGAACTCTGACTATCCCGTGACCTCATTGGAAAAAAACAAGAAAGATTCCTCCAGCATCTGATAAGGCATAAGAACTGAATTGTAGGCTTCAGGACTCTATAGTTTTAGCATAGCTACAATCCCAAATCAGTATCCTTAGATTCTAGCAAAGCATGAGACCACATACATCCGTGATGAGAAGTCGAACACACAAAAATAAACAAAAACCTTCTTACTTACGATAGAATACGTATTCGGTATAGCTCGACCAGATCTTGTCCTCTGTATACTGGTTGACAAAAGACGCTGTCACCGAGGAGTTACAGGCCACCATGTGGAATCCACACTCTGACAACATATCAAAAGCTCTTTCCAGATGTTTGAACTTGAGATAAAATCTGGAGGTGTATCTTTCTGGGGCTCGGTCTGGGTCTCTGCTTTCATTCAGAGTTTCTCCAAAGACTTCCTTTGCCAATGAAATCCTTCCGCAAACTAAAATCCGGGGAACTCTTCGAAACTTGGCATCTGCTTGCCCCTCTCTGCCCAAGGTACAGGATCCCCTGTAACCCACAGTAATAAAACCCCACTTGCGGTCATGAGGGAGCAGCGAAGAGGGGGGGCAGATTCTTGTGTCGCTTCCTTGGGAGCCATCCTCAAAATCGCTGTGGCAGAACTCATCTGGGCTTTGCTTGACTTCCTCGGGGGCCAGGAGCTTGACCAGGTCGGGTAGCTGGAAATATTCAGCCTCTCTTTTCAACCTTCCCCTTTCTGGAAAGTGGTCAGGCAGGACGACCTGCCTGTCCCTGAGATAGTCCAGAATATAACGGAACAGGAAGCCATCTCTGTCGATGAAAAACCTTCCCTTGGAATCCTTGGCTAGATCGTTAGCGTTGTCTCTCTTTGGGGAAAACATTTTCCACAAGAGGGAATGGGGGATGCTTATTAATGTGGAATGGCGGGTGAAGTAAACCTGGCCCCCAACGTTCAGCTCTATGACTTCGGGGAAGGAGTTGGGAACCGCAGCCCCTTGATCCCGAGGATAGTAACGATTACAGTTCCCACTCAGAGCCATTGTCTCTTTCTTCTGCAGCTTCCCGGACTTAAAGGTGCAATCCAAGCCAGTTACAGCCTTAGGCTTTGCATCCAGTTGTAAGAGAGGGAAAAGGTGCTAACTTGCTCAAAATGACCTCCTCTAGCCCCGGTTTGGTTCGTTATTCCCCCCAACAAGGCAAATTTTAGAACAGTCCACAGGTGAAGCAATGCTGGACAGAAAGTTTAAAGGTGTCTGGTAGTGAGCTTCACAGAAGGTAATGGTCAGCTTGGCTACATTCGCTCTTCCATTAGGATGGGAAGGCAGGAAGACCAAGTGCCCAGGTACTCAGAGGTCTGTCTGAGGGAAAAGAGAGAAAATATTTCCTCAGACCCAGAATGAGTCAGAAAAGGAGAGACCTCTGGGGAGAGCAGAGGGGGAGAGAGGGAGGGAAACCGGCAGGGAGGAGAATATTTTTACATAAGCAGCCGGAAACTATTGACTTTAATCACTCCTTAACGGAGTTAGCGCTTCCCTCAGCCTGCACTGCCTTAAGTTTAGCCTTAAGCCACTGTCTTCAGCAGCTGCTGCTCACATCGAGCCTGTTTGTAAATCTGATGTCAAAGGCATATGCAATTTTCAACTTCCAAAGAGACCCTTTTTTTTTTTTTTTTTTTTTTTTCAGCAGGACTGAGAAAGCAGTGAGTCTCTGCGCTTACCTTAGCGAGTGCTGGAGACTCAGTTCTTGCGAAGAAATAGCCTTTTCCAGAGCAATCGGAAACCACAGCCACACTGGGTCTGGATCTCTCGTCAAATCCCAAACAGGTAGAGGACAGAGGTATCAAAGAAAAGTGCCAGAGAAATGTGCTCTCGGGAAATAAACGATTCCGCACTTACGCGCTCGTAGATGTGCGTTTGTGTATATGTATGTGTGTACGTATTCACTCCCAAATCTCTAGTTAAAAGGGATCGGAAAAAAAAGTTGAGCCGTGAGAAGGCTGAGTCAAAGAAGTGAAGCAAAGAAAAAAAATATTCAACCAAAGCTTCGGCAGGGGGAAAAAAATGAAAGGAAAACCAAGATCCAAACCTTTAGAAACAGATCCTTTACACCTGGGAGAGTTACAAGAGGTACCTGGACTTAAAGGCGTTCAAAGAGCCCGGAGGCAGAAAGACAGACAGAGGCGCCCGGCCAGGGTCTCAGCAGCCACCCCACCTGCTGGCAAGGGCAAAGGGACACCCATATCTCGGTCAGGTAGGAGCAAGAAGGAGCCGGGTCAGAAGGGAGATGCCTGCAGGGCTCGGGCTCCGGAGCAGGAAGGTCCCACGGTGCCAGGAGCAGTTCGGATGCTGTTGTGTGAGCAGTGCAGGCAAGAAACCATCCAGGGAAATGACTATTACATCATCTTAAAGGAATAGGGCTTGGAGAGAGCGGAGGCAGCTCGGAGTCACGTCCTCGGCGGTGACAGGTTGCCAGCGCTGACGGGGACGTGGCGCCCGCGGTGGGCACTGGACGGGAGATGCTGGCTGCTGGCGCAGGGCTGGGATGCAGCACTGCACCGGCCCCCGTCCAGCCTGGGATCTGGAGTTTGCACCGGCCACCTCTGGGCTCTTTATTCCTTGTTTCCAACTCCGCCCTCCGCCCCCTCCCCCATTAATTACCCTCCACACTGGCAGTGATTTTCATCTGAAAAACCTCCGGACGTGCTCTTCAAATGCATGACTCTGCAGAAGGGCGCACGTCTCCCTCTAAATCATTTTCCTTTTAATCAGAGTAATGTTCAAGTTACAAGTGTTTTAGATTCTTTTTAAGCCTTTGATGACAGTCATATTCATTCAGATATTCTTTCCCCTTCATTTCTTCGGCCAACACACACACACACACACACACACACACACACGCAGAATCGAGGATGCTCTCTCAAAATGATTATCCAAATGTCCATAAAAAGCTAGGAGTTTAGCAGTAAAGTCATCGATCTTGACTTACCTGTAAGAAACTGCTGCCTGCAACCTGTTCTGAGGCTTCCTTCTTACTGAGACTCTCTTTGGATGCGCCTGCCCGTCCCAACCCATCCCAAGAGTACTCCTGTGGAAGACACGCCTGCTAAGAGACGTTTTACCCTGTCCCAGAGGACTCTGTTAAGTGCATCATTAGAGTTTCAAGAAGGCATTTCCAGGGCAACCTAATACACTAACGAAGTGCTTCCAGTTGAGCCTGCCAGTCAATAATGGCCCAGCCAGCCGCTTACAGTAAGTCCGTCATTTCCCCTTAAAATGCCAAAGTCCTGGACTCGCATCCCTGGTAAGAAAGCACTTTTTCATCAATGAATAATACAGGTGAGGCACAATCCATCCCAAACAACCTCGAGTTTAAAAGCTGAAAATCAAAAAATGGAAGTGAACATATGAGTTGAACACAGTTGAGGAGACTCCTGTGTTCACCGACAACTTCTGCACCATTAATTAGCTTGAAAACCATCTTTCAACAGCAGACTAAATTGTGATTGTGTGTGTGTGTGTATGTGTGTGCACCTGCACGCGCGCTTAACAACCCTTTCTTTCAATAACCACTTGGTTACTGAACACACTCAGAATATTAGCTCACTCCCAACCCCTTATTATATTTGATTTTGCTGCTTTAACTAATGCATTAACCTGCTCTCTCTGGCCTCCATTGCCTCGCTTTTAAAGCTGGATCTTTTAAGGAAAGGTTTATTATATGATGCGCTTCTATCGCCATCTAGTGTCCAGAATTATCAATGCAAGTCGGTATCCGGAAATTTAGCTGAGTTAAAAATGTTATCTATTTTTAAGTTTTTATAGGAAACTAAATTTACTTTGTATTCATTATTCACCCTAATGAGGAAATAGACGTTTATTTTCCACCATTTCATGGGAAAAACTGGATCTGAGGCTTCGCCTAATTAAGTATTGCTTTGGGTGAACAAGAAAGCAAGGGAATGCTTGGCTTCTGTTGCTGCTGCTGATGTTGAGACAGGTTTGTTTTGACCCCTGGTACTTTTCCTCTTCCAGGAGCTGAGGTTAAATGCACCACCACACTTAGTGTGTGTGTGTGTGTGTGTGTGTGTGTGTGTGTGTGTGTGTTTGCATGCACACTCATGGCGGTGGGAATGGCCCCTCATGTGGACAGCAAACGCTCTACCCCTGAGACCCATCTTCATTCGGAGCCTGTGTTTTAATGTTTAAAAGTGTAACAGCACATTATGACCATTGCTTCAGAGCTCAGGTCCTAAAATATTCTCTTCATTGTGTATTCTAGACGAGGGGTAGGGAGGAGAGCTGATAAGAAAACAAGAATTTCAAGATTATTATACATTATAATGACAAGTCATTTTTAAAGAGTTTCTAATATTAACTTAAATCGCAAAGCTAAAAGAGTCTACAATTACAAAGAAAAATTTTCTCCACTCAAATAAGAGAGTATTGTCCTGGTGTGGTTTAATTTAGCATGCCTTTAATCTCAGCACCTGGGAGGCAGAGGTAGATATATCTCTTGTGAATTAAAGGCCAGCCTGGTCTACATAATGAGTTCCAGGACAGACAGAACTACACAGTGAGTTACTATCTCAAAATAAATAAATAAATAAATAAAAATTAAAAAAAGGTTGGGGTAGGGGTAGGATCTGTCATTGTTTCATTGGTTAGGTTATTTTCAGACCAGTCATTCATTTGAAGATAACTATTATTAATTAATTGTACCTACTGATGGGTTTAAAGCTGTTTCTATTGTGCACATTGCACTTTGCTCTTCTCTGCCTTCTCAATCGTCCTCTTAGCCTTTCATCTTCCTCCCTTCTCCACGTCTGTTGGGGTCTCTATTGCTTCATTACAATCTTTCTACCTTCAGATCATCTTTAGAAATGGGACCTTGGGGGAGGGTTGAAGGGGAGGGGAGAGGCAGGGAGGGAGGCAGAGAAAATGTAGAGCTCAATATAAAAATTAAAAATTTAAAAAATGTTTTAAATTTTATTCTGGGTTCCACATATGACAGAAAATGTGATAGACTTAGTGATTTCTAAGTCTGCCTTACTTCACTTAACATGATGGCATCTAGTTCCATACATTTTCTAGGAAATAACAAGTTATTCATTTTTATGGCTACATAAAACTCCAGTGTGACCTGTGTGTGTGCACACACACATGTGTGAAGCATACGTGTATTCTAAAGTTTTATTTATCCATTCATTTGTTGATAGACACCAAAGCTGACTCCATACCTGGCTACTATGAATAGTGTGACTATGAGAATGGATGTGTAGGTGTCTCTATTGAGTGTGGATAAGATTCCATCTGGCAGATATCCAGGAGTGGTATAGCTGTATCAAACGGCAGCTCTATTTTAGTTTCATGGGAACCTCCATGTTTTCTGTTCTGACCAAATGATTCCCATTCCCACTAACAGTATATAACTATTCCTTTTTCTCTGCATCCTTGCCAACAGTAATCCTTTGTAATAACCATCTGACTGAGCCGGGCGATTGTGGCGCACGCCTTTAATCCCAGCACTCGGGAGGCAGAGGCAGGCGAATCTCTGTGAGTTCGAGACCAGCCTGGTCTACAAGAGCTAGTTCCAGGACAGGCTCCAAAGCCACAGAGAAACCCTGTCTCGAAAAAAATAAAAATAAAAAACATCTGACTGGAATGAGAAGAACTATCCACCTATAATTTTGATTTTAGTATATTTGTTGGCCTTTTCTCTTGAGAAGTCTGTCCAGACAGTTTGCTCATTTGTTGATTGGATTACTTGTTCTTTTGTAGTCATGGACTTTGAGTTCTTTATATATTGTTCACATAAATGGCTAGCAGAGATTTCTCTCCCATCCTCTAATCAGGAACAAGGAGTTCCTAGCTGATGTTGGGGAATGGACTGATGATGCCTAGCAAATTAACACACACATAAAAATTTGCTTTTTTCATCCAAACAAAGCCTCTCAGGAAGGTCTTGGGGAACATGAGAAATGGGAGGCAGTGATTCACATGTCATAATACTCCCCAGTTTTTACTGCAACAGTCCGTTTTGA